GGAGCGAGAGCCTGGAGGCGAGGCGGACCCCAGAGGGAGGGGACTTAGCGAGTGGGTCAGAACTCACTGACTCCAGCCGCGAATAGCGGGGCAAAAGTCAGGCCTGGGACAGATCGCAGAGGAGGGAGCCGAACTCAGGGGCGCAAGCAGAATTTAGGGGGCAGGGGCAGAACTCGTTGACAGGAGCCAAAACTCAGAGCGGAGCGGTTATTAGGGCCTGTTAGGAGGACTTAAAGTTGTCGTGGAACCCAGAAGGGAAGGAAAGGTGGAGGCGAGGTGCTCCCAAGGAGGAACTATGCGGAGATGGTATTCAAATGGAGAAAGATGGAGACAGGTGGATGAAAGTCAAAGGGAAGGAAGCCGATGGAGGGCGAACTAGAGGGGTGAGTGAGTGGATCCAAGGGGAGCTTGGAACGCGAGGTGGGGGAGGTCCCCATGAGGAAAGAACTCTGAATGAGCAAGGTGTAGTGCGGATGAGGAGGGATGGGCCAGGGATGGAATTCAGGGACGGGCATGTGGCTTTGGCGGGCAGAAATCAGAAGAGATAGGACTGGGAGGATGAAATGCAGAAAGAGAAAACTCAGAGAAAGGTGGCATTGTAGAGAAACTGCGAGGACCAAATTAGGGGCAACTGTGGGGGGGGGCACAAGTCTCAGCTGGGGAAGAGAACTCGGGAGGTGAGAAAATCTGGGACAGAAGTAGCTGCGGGAAATGGAACGGAGCGAAAGGACCGATCTGGGGGGCGAAGCAACTCGGGGGGTGAGTTCAGAGCGCAGAGGCGTGGTCTTGGGGCGAGAGGCGGGGCCAGAAGAGCGAGGGGAGGCCGAGGAACGGGGGGGGCGGGACGAGGACGCGGGGCGGGGCCTCGCGAATGGGCGGGGCAACCAGCGCCCCGCCCCCGACGCCGGGTCCAGTGACAGCCCCCTGGCAGCCGGCACTCACAGCCTCCTTCCCCCCGAGCGGAGCTGCGGGGCCGGCCGGGCCGGGGCGGACCCCGGGAACCCGGACACGGCCGCCCGGGCCCGCGGGCGGGGGGCTCGGCGGGGGGACCGGCGTCAGGGCAGGCAGCCACCATGGAGTTCCGCCAGGAGGAGTTTCGGAAGCTAGCGGGACGCGCCCTCGGGAGGCTGCACCGGTGAGCGTGGTGGGGGTCCCGGGCGGGGCAGGGCCGCAGGGCCCAAGGAGGGCATCATCCCACCTGGGCGCGGACGGGCGGCTGGACAGGAGATGCCGGTGGATGAGTGGGATCCACCCTCTCGGTCTCCACCCCGCCGCTCTCCCTGGCCCAGCCTCGGTCTCCTCCAGCATCTCCTTCATTTTTCTGGCCCCACCCCACCCCAGTCTCTACCCTTTTCTTTGGGAATGTGTATTTCCCTCTCTTTTGGCCTCGGACACCCTCCCCCACTTCTAGATCTCTGTTCTTCTAGCTTCTCCCTGCCTCCTTTCTCAGGGTCTCTGTCCCTCTCTCTTTGGGTCTCTGGTATGGCTCTTACTAGATCTCCATCAACTCCTCTGGGACTCCGGCCCCCTCTCTGGGTCTCTGCTCCATCCTTCCGGGTTCCTGTCCTCCCCATCTCTCTATCTATTATTACCCCCACCCCCACCCCAAGTCGCTTCATGTCTGTCTTTCTCAGTTTCTGACTCTCAGAGTGTTTAATCTGAAGCTAAAGCGGATTGGGGCGCATTGGTTCTTGTCCTTGGGGAGAGATAAGCAGCGAGGCAGAAGCCAGGGTATCCTGGGTCTCCGGGGGAGAAGGGAGTTATCTGCCAGGTCCTGGGGTCCCTTTTGCATCCCAGAGGGTTTTGGTTGGTGCTAAGAGAGCGGTCCTCCCAGCCAGGGAGATGACCCCAGTGACCTGTGTGTCCCTAGGGCAGGCTGGACACCTCCCTCTATTCTCTCACCCCCAACCCCAGCCCTGGCTTCAAGTCAGAGAAATTACTCAGCTGCGGAGAAACCTAAAAATATCTGGCCACAGTGCGGGCAGGGGATGGCCTCCTGGGCACCTGCCGCCGGTCCCTCAGACCCTGTCCCTGGGCCCACAGCCTTGACCCCATCCTTGGTTGACCCTTAGCCTATGTCACGACGCCATGCAAGTCCTTTTTTAAGTCTATCACTGGTCCTTCTAGCTGAAAGTGTCCCCACCTTGGAGTAACAGGAGAGATGGGAATAGGGCCGGGCGGGAGGGAGGGGACAGGAGGAGGGCGCAGTGATGGGGAGGTGGAGGGGAGCTGAGATAACCTCACCCCTTCTTTTCCCAATCTTCCAGCCCCATCCCCACCCTTTTTCTCGCCTCCTTTCACGAGTTTCTCAAAATACATCAGTGCGAAGTCAGGAGCGGGAGAGAGACGTGTTGTTGGAGGGGGCTGGGGTGGAGGCGGGAGGGGTGCGCTCCTCAGCCCCCCACCCTAGTCGCTTCTTCTTATCTTCTGTCTGACTTGTCAGTCTGGCTCTGCCTTCCTTCACCTCACTGAGCTGCCCCCCACCCCAGCACCCTGAGACCCCAGAGTTCAGTACTCCCAGAACAGCAGCCAAAGAGGTGGAATTGGGGAGCGCATTTACATCTGGATCCTGGGGTTTACCTGGAGGGTTGCAGAGAGGAGCGATGTAACACCCTGATTGTATTTAATCACTAAACAACCTGGGGAATTGAGGCTCAGTTTAAGCAGGCGGAGAAATCAAAGGATGCGGACAGAGGCCATCACTTTGAGCCGGCAGCCCCTCCCGAGCCTGGGAGGGGGCCGTGGACGTCCCTCGAGTGATGGAGTGGGTGGAGAGCTCCCTCGGCCAGGAGACAGATGGAGCCCTTGGGGCAGGACGTGGGGTGGGAATTCAGGAGAAATGCGGAGCCCAGCATGGGCGAAGCAACGCTGGGGGACAGGAAGGGCTCAGGCCCCATCGAG